CTGCCACATACAGAGTAATGAATCACATAGGTCCTCCTTCATTGTGTCCTTATTTCAAGGGGTATAGTGGACTAAATTGAAGTTATACGATTTTCTTTAGAAACGAAGTTGATTAGGAATTAATATCTGTTTACCCATCATATGTGGAATTTAGGCTGGATAATCTATAAGACTCTGAAACTCTGGGATTCTGTGGCCACAGAGTCTCCCAGGAGGGTGAAAGTCAACCTGCACCGTGTCTCTTTTTCACCTCTTAGGTGAAGAACACCGACAGATGCCAAAGCATGATTTCACATTACATTTTTTTTAATAAGAAAATTGTATTTCTGAAGGATAGGTTGACAAAGGACATGCTGAATTTCCAAAATTAACTGTGAAAGACAGATCATCTAGGCATGACTGAAAGCCATGCATAACCTTTGTGCTCAGATATATCATTTCAAAAATGTCACTTTATGCTTATTCAATGCTACTCTCATTATTCTATTTTAAGGATTAAAATTTGTGTTCTGGAGCTGAACAGAAATTATTGCTTCTATCTTTGGGCTTATTAGAAATAATTTAGAATTCATTTAAGAGTGATAAAAATCACCTTTCCATTATGGTTGAATTCAGTTAAATGTTGAAATTTGCAATGCAATTTTCATTGTCTTTTATTAGCAGTGTTTTAGTATGTACATATGTAGTTCAAGACTATTTTTAAGTATCTTATGAAAAAATCTCATCTGAAAATGATTTTTTCCTTTACTTTTTAATTGCCTAGAGTGAGCTTGAAGTAGAATAAATTATGGGACAAGGTAACCAAAAAAAGTCAGACTTTTCCTTATATAGAGAAACTTTCTAAAAAGCATATATGAGTATTGAAACACATTTTCATTGCTCCACAAATTATTTACCCAGTACATACACCATGGTAAAACTAGATGATGCAGGGAAAATGAAAAGAAAAAAAAATTAATTGTTTAGAAAAGAAATTCATTTCTGTTTTGACTTTTCAGAGAGAAATAGGATTTTAAGTGGGGCTGTGTAGTGAAAAGATTTTGTAAAGGCAAAAAGCTCCCTAATCCATCTTGAAGGGATGGATCAGTCATCTGTGATTTACTTGTCATTTTATTCTCTGAACTATCCTCATTCTCTCATGTCAAAATTTGGATTAATACTAAGCAGGAGGATCAGGAAAATATCTGCTTGAATCACGTGGCTCTTCAAGCAGGGACCGGAAGAGGGAAGGAGTTGCCTAGGTAGTGGAGGGTTCCCTGGACAAGACTGCTGGGGAATCACTGCAGCTGGTGGGCAGCCAAAGAGCAGAACACAGTGGAGCATGGAGGAAGAATGCCAAAGTAAAGGACACCCAAATGGCAAACGTCAAGAAAGTGGGTCATATTTAAGCACTAGGTGGCTTGACACGACTTAGAGACTAGCTGGAGAGTCAGATCAAGAAGAATCAGAATAACAGGCCACATAGTGAAAGGGGGCTCTTGGAGGGTCAGAACATGTCTGTTTGCAGGTAGAATGTGCCCTGTGACATTTTTGCAGGAGGCAGGGACGGGGACAAGAGACATTCAAAAGGCTGCCTAGGAGAGTTGTGGTAATTCCTAAAATAACAATGCCAGTGGAAGCATTCCAATACCACAGAATGAAATTAAAGCAGGTTCTTATTTTCTCACTGTAAAGGGTCTTCACATAAGGTGCAGTAAGCACACTATTTACTTGGTTCAGACAGCTGTAATAAAATAAGTGGTTAATTTAAACCTCAGGAATGTATTCTTTCTTAGTTCTTGAGGCTATAAGTCCAGAATCAAGATGCTAGCACAGTTGATTTCTCGGGTGGGCTATGGCATGTGGACTGAATATCTTCTCTCTGTGTTCCGACATAGCAGCGGTGGGAGATTCTCCTTATAATCACATCATGAGAGCCCCATTCTCATGACCTCATTTGAAACCAATTATCTCCCAAAGTCTCCATCTCCAAATGCCTCATGTTGAGGGTTAGGGCTTCAACATATTAATTTTATTCGTTGTTGTTGTTGTTGTTGGGAGGAAGAACACAATTTGGTCAATAGCAACTGTCAACTTTTATCATCTCACAGTCACCGTAAGAGTCCTATAATATATTTGGTTTTCCTCACAGACAATATCTATAATTGGTTTGACATTGAAATTGACCTGACAGTATAAATGGGTTGCCCAGACTCTTTCTTATGAGTCAGCTTTTCTACCGTAATTCTAAGTATACTGTATTCTGGGCGGGGGAAAAAAATCTCTTTCTTTGATAATTTCATCAGTATCAAGGGTTCCCCCCCCCCACTTGTTCTCTGTTTATTTTGGCAAACAAAATGAAGTGTCATCTGCTCACAGTTTGCATACGACCCCCAGCATTGGTCTTATCCCATTCCAAGGCCATTTTCTAATCTCTGTGGGAAAGAGCTTATCCAACTAATGCTGCTTCCATGAATACCACACTACACCCACATCTACTATTGATGACTTATAATTTAAGAAAGAATAATGAAAATCATATTCTAAATATGATTGCTCCCATACATGGGAGTTATTCATCTCATGGAGAACACACCTTAATTCTTAGACTCAAGTTAACCATCTATTCAGAGCACCTCACTACTCAAACTCTTCTTCTTTAGGAACCCCTCCTACCACAAACCATTCAACCACTAAACAGTGGGAACTATTTTCCCAAAGTCTGAGTTACTTAATTTAGAGTGATTCTTTTATGGTAAAAGATGACAGGAAACAAGTTTTAAAGAATGGGTGTTATTTTTTGTCCTCTTAATTCTGATCCTTTCAAAATTTTTTCATTACTAAGTCAATCTTCTTCATTGATATATAGTTTTACTCTATTCCAGCTCATAACTCCAACTCATAATTTTGTATATAATCTGATAACTTATTTAAATTACGTGAAAATTAATGTACTCCATAGATTTCAAAACTAGTAAAATGGATGCTATGTTGGGTGGTTCAGGGAAGATCTTTGGTTGCTTTTCTTCTTCCTAAAAATGAATCAACTGAATAGTTTTCACCTCATTATGTCTCTAGGAATTTTACTTTGGACACTAAAGGACTTCATTGCTCTAGCCCCGTTGGAAATGACATCAAAATGTTTGATAGTATAGGCTAAAGGAAAAATCTAGACACATTAAAAGTTTTTCTCTTCAAAAGTTGTTTGATTGTAGTGAGAACAGTTATCATCATGGCCATGATGAAACAGAACATTTGAAATCATTAAAATCAAGTGAAATAGTCCCTGCTAGAATATTTGATGGTTCCCATCTTGTTATAGGCATGAATGATGCATACAGTAGTCACCTGACTAATCCTTAAGCACTTTCTTCTCCTGGGCCAAAAGTCGTGCTACTTGTAAAAAAACAAAGGGGAACTTAATAGATTCCTGATTTATGCCTTGAGACTCCCCTCTTTAGGATGAAAACCGTGGGGAAGACTAATTATTTCCTTAAGGTTAGCACCTATAAGTTAAACTGTCAACTTCCACTGTGTTCTGCCATCTAGTGTAAGAAGCTACATTCTGTCACATTGCATCATGATGATAATCATTATAATCACATATCAACACAATGAGTTAATGAGATAATAACAAGACTCCAGTGCCTTCCCTGCATGCTAAACAATTGATTCCAGTCACAGACATTTGTCAGCTTGTTCCACCTAACTGGATGATGTCAAAAGTGTACGTTCTGTCCAAAGAGAGGGCTTCCAGCAGGCAGTAAGAAGCACTAGTACACAAATCTGCCATGAATTTCCAGTAGTTACTCTTGAAGATTTTTGCGTCATTCCCTGGGTTCCTCTCTTTTAAAATTCTCCAGGAAGTTCTGATGTGTCATCCGAACATATCTAATAAAGTTTCTCCAAGACAGCATTTAGGATATCATACAAGATCTTATGAACAAAACCAGACAAACACAACATAATCAACAATACCTGGAAATTTGGAGATTAACTTGTCTAGCCTCATAAGATTTTTACATCAATTTCCCCTAAAGTATCAAATCCATCTTCATAGAAGCTATTTATTTGAACCAAGACAGAGATTAAGTAAGACTAGCAGGCTAGGAAATATTTATCCTAAATGAAAGCAAGATGTGATCATGGGAATAGCCATATCAGTCAAAGGGCTCAATGTCTATGGTATTTTTGTGAACATTTGTGCTTATACACACTAGATTAAAAAATTCTATTTCTTTCTCAATTCTTGCAGTTTTTTATGAGGTTTGTGATTGCTGTCATGCAACAAACTTCATCTGAAGTTTCTATTTAGAAATTCCAACTCAGAGAGGTGAATACTCCTGACATTAACATTTTTACTGTCATTGGAGTATTAATTAGTCTGAAGATGAGAATTCCTATTGTTCTGTTTGTTAGTCAGTTTTATAGCTGTGACCAAAACACCTGATGTGAATATCTGAGAGGAGGAAAAGTTTATTTTGAGCTCAAGGTTTCAGAGGTTCAGCCAACCCTGGTTGGCTCACTTCATTGCTCTGGGCTCAAGATGAGGCAGAACCTTGTGATGGAAGAAAGTTATGCAGCTAATGGCAGCCAGGAAGAACATGGGGAACCAGGAGCAAAATATATAATCCCTAAGGCATGTACAGTGACCCGTTTCTTCCATCCACACCTCACATGCCTAGGGTGACCACCTTTCAATCAACGAATCATTAATCCATCAAATTGACTAACAGATTTGGTTTTAGCTCTCCCAATTTAATCATTTCACTTCCTGCCTTAACACAGGAGCTTTGGGGAGAGACCTGACATCTAAACCATAATGCTCTGCCATCACGTTTTTCTAAATATGGGAAACATTTGATTCTATGGTTGATTTTTAGTCTAAGCCCCAAGCTAGAAATGAAGTTGGCTCTTCCTCCCATCAAATTTATAGCAATAAATAACAGCAGGAGTCATTTTGGAAAGCTTTCCCATTGTACTCATCTACTCTACTATTTTTGTTCTTGTTGTTCTTTTAGTGTCTGCCAAACCGAGACCCCACAGTGATGAATACTCAAAGAAGATCCCCCCTCCGAAACCCAAACGGAACCCAAACACTCAGCTTAGCACGTCCTTCGATGAAACGTACATCAGAAAGCACGGGCCCAGGAGGACATCGCTGCCCCGGGACTCCTCCCTGTCCCAGGTCAGCACCCCTGCGGGAGACCCCGAGGAGGAGGAGCCCGTGTACATCGAGATGGTGGGGAACATTCTCAGAGACTTCAGGAGAGAGGAGGACGACCAGAGCGAGGCCGTCTACGAGGAAATGAAATACCCCATTTTCGACGACCTGGGCCAAGATTCCAAAGGTGACTTTGACCATCACAGTTGTTCTTCGCAGTGTGCTACTCCCACGGTGCCTGACTTGGACTTCGCCAAGTCCTCAGTGCCATGTACTCCCAAGGGTTTGCTTTGTGACATCCCCCCGCCCTTTCCTAACTTGCTGTCCCACCGACCCCCGCTGCTGGTGTTCCCGCCAGCCCCTGTGCACTGCTCCCCCAACTCGGACGAGTCTCCGCTAACCCCGCTGGAAGTCACCAAGCTCCCCGTGTTGGAAAACGTGTCTTACATGAAGCAGTCCGCCGGAGCCTCTCCCTCCTCCCTGCCATCTCACACCTCCGGCCACTCGAAGCTGGAGAAGGACCAGCCAGGAGCCCTGGGACCGGCCTCTGCCACGTCTGTGCTCTCCTCGTCCCCGCCGCCTCCTTCCACGTTGTACCGAACGCAGTCTCCCCACGGCTACCCTAAAAGTCACTCGGCCTCCCCCTCGCCGGTCAGCATGGGCAGGTCCCTGACCCCGCTGAGCCTCAAGAGGCCACCCCCCTACGACGCCGTGCATTCAGCAAGCCTCTCCAGGAGCTCTCCCTCAGTGCCTCATTCCACCCCCAGACCCGTGTCGCAAGATGGGGCCAAGATGGTCAACGCTGCGGTCAACACCTACGGGGCGGCTCCGAGTGGCTCTAGGTCCAGAACACCCACGAGTCCTTTGGAAGAACTCACCAGCCTCTTTACCTCAGGACGCAGCCTGCTGAGGAAGTCGTCCAGTGGCCGACGTTCCAAGGAGCCAGCAGAAAGTAAGTGTGCCAAGTCCACGTGAGCCAGAAAGTCTGGTGCATGAGCCAGAAACACAGCAGGCCCCTAGCATGCAAGGAAAGCGCCCAGAGCAGGGTGCTTGGTCCTTTTAGTTCAAATGTCAAAATGCAAAATTCATTATTTTGCTTTTGGCATTCTCAACAAGATGGGCTATTCTGAATATGGATGGAAAGAATGAAAAGTGGCAATTTGCACAATATAATATATCCTATGTAAAGTGGAGAGGGACATTTTTCTCAAAGAAAAGAAAGTGTAAAATCTAAATTCTAACAGTGGGTCTCAAAAGTTTAACAGAGAAAGCAAAGGCTACTATGGATTCTTTTTGGTGGGAGGGAGTTTTAGTATTTTGTTTTGTTTTGTTATACATGACAATAGGATTCACTCTGACATAATTATAAAAGCATAGAATACGATTGGTTCTAATTGTGGAATTTCTAGATAAAAATCTTGATTTTATAGGAAAAATTAATCACATATTGAATTATTAAATGTTACAACTTACCCTTTATTTTATATTAAAGTCTGTATAAAAAAAAAACCTTTGTGGAAAAGAAAGCAATTTGGATAGAATTTAGAACTTTTTTTTAACATAGGAAGATCATCTCTGCATACTATGTGTTGTTTTATTCTTTGATTCACTGTAAATCAGAATATACTCATTGCTTTCCTTTTAAAAGCCATATTAATTCACATCTTATATTTTATGGTACTCTTCCTGGATCCATTGATGGATGCAGAAAAATCATGATAAATGCTATTTTGACCACTTACTTTAAATATCAGAAAACTTCTCTATCTAAATGACTAACCCTTTTATAAGCCCTAAATAAATTACAAGTACACAGTAAATTCAAAACAGATCCAGGTCAATTTTCTCCATGTCTAATTCCTTAAGTTACACTAACTTCTTAAAAATGCCTTAGACAACTCAATGGATAATTAATTATTTACACCTCAAATGATCCTACCTCATGATATTTTTTATCTATTAATACAGCCATACTGAGGACTTTCCTTAAAAGAAAAGAGATCTTTAATAGTTTTTGATAATGGTGATCACAGCATTCTCAGTTAATATTCATTTGTAGTTATAAGCCACTTTTTCTGTCTTTTATTCATTTTTTTCTTTTACATGGAGAGATTTATGAAAGCATTAGCTACTTAAATAATTATCCCCCAAACATTTTACTTGTCTAAAGGCAGCACTTTCTAATGCTCTAGGCATGCCTGGATTCGCCTTTATATAGACATACAAAAAGTTGTTTCAAATTATTTCAAGACTTGAATTTAAAGCTAGGAGCAATCTCTTTCTAGAGCAGTATTTCCCAGTGAAGACAGTTTTGCCCTGAAAACAGGGATATTTGGCTATGATTAGGAACATTGTTGGGTTGTCAAAATAGGAGTGCTAATGGCATCTAATAAAGCCTGCTATCCATGAAATAGTACACATACACACAAAAATAAATAAATAGATAGACAAACAGATAGATAGATAAATAAATAAATAAATAGATAAATAAATAAATAAACAAACAAATAAATAAATAAATAAATAAATAAAAGATTATCTGATCCACAATAAAGACAGTATAAATGTTGGGAAACCTGGTCTAGAAAATTTATTAAAATTTAAAGTTTCCTTAACTTGATTTGTTTGGTTTTCATATAGATCAAGTATGTATTTTAGAATAAAAGGCAACAGGTGAAGAAAAATGTTTTGTTTTAAAATACATAATTGTTAGTGTGAAATTAATGGAATTTTTATCTTAGAATTGTTGAAACTCTTTAATTTCACCCTACCTATCAGCTTCTTTGAAGGATTCTAAGCATCTCCAGCTGGCAGTTATGCCAATTAGCTAGAAAAAGTATATGTAAAAGAATTGATTAACTAATGAAGTTATTTCTAGAAAAATCCATCTGTTAGAATCAGTCTATGAGCTGTATGTCACAAAATCCTCTATTCAGAGCTCCGTGTGTTTCTAAAACAAAGGTTGTACATGGAAACGTGATCCAGAGTCTTTACAGCTTTTAGGGAGCTCAGGATTGGAAATCTTCCCATGGACTATTAATCACGTATTAACCCTTTAGAGAAGTGGCTTGCCCTGAATTACATTAGCATTGGTATATTAATTTATGTAAGTGGGAGGGAGGAAAAACACAGATAGTACATATGAATAATCCAAGCACTACTTTCTTTTGACTTCAGAGGAAAATAGATGCCATCAGATACTAACAAAATCATAGGCAAGCTCAGAAACATTCTCAAATGTAAAAGATTGGACTAAAACCTCAGATAACTGAGCATTAACTCCTAATTGCTCTCATAGTATACTCAGTGATACAACTCTTTCCTGTTTTTCTTGCCTGATAGGATTTATAGATACCTGTTGATACCTTAGGGTCAGAATAAATGACAAGAAATAGTATTTTATTCATAATTCTTGAGTCTCATTTTTTTTAACGTTTCAGAATTTTTTGTTTACATTTCATGGATAAAAGTGAACAGGGTATGTCCCTTGTTCATTCAATCTACCTTTGCTTTTTGGAAAAGTCAATTTTGATAACTTCCTGGCATTCTGCCTGAAACTAATATAATCTTTGTTTTAGCTGAAATAATCAATCTCAAAGTTTATACCTTCGATTATTATTTTTAATAATCTATAAAAGGCACACCTAATGTGATAATTTTATATTTAAAAGGTCACGATTGTTACTGGGCAGTATGAAAGAGATAGAATAAGACAAAAGTGGTAAATTATGAATAAATTCCATTTTGTTTCACAATTTTCTAAATATTATCTTCATATTAATTATTACGGAAATCAGCTTTTCCCTGGTTGCTGCAATATTATAATGTTAATTCAATCAGAACATTTGATAATCTCTATAATAATTTTTCTTTTATTTGGTTATCAATGTATTTTTAAATTTGTGCAGAGAGATGGATTATGTGACACATACAAGTAGTGATACAACTCATATGTTGCTACTGTAGATAATTGTGTCCTCCTAAGAAGTAGGCCAGGTACAAATATGTTTTTTGAAAACCTAAATGACAATATTTTTTGACCCATTTTGTTTACATCTTCTTATTCTATGTATCCTTTATGATTTGATTTGAATCTTTGAACACGTAAGTCATGAATGGGACACTTTATTTTAATAAATCATGTGCCATGAAAAATACATATGCAGGACCAAATGGAAAAAAAGAGAGGAAACTTTCTCTTTTTTTTTCCTCATCTTAGTACATTTTGTGCTACTATAATAGAATACCTGAGACTGATCCATAAAATCAGAGAGTTATTTGGTTCATGGTTTTGGAGGCTGGAAAGTCCAAGAGTATGGCCGGCACCCAGAAGGACCTTTGTGCTGCCTCTACCCGTGGTTGAAGGTGAGAGGACAAGGAAGGGTGAAAGCAAGGGAGCACCACAGAGCCAAACTCACTTTTACACAAATCTGCTCTCAGGATAACTAACCCACACCTGTGAAAATGGCTAAGTCCACTCATTAGGCAGAGCCTCCTTCACTAATCACCTCTTACTGGGCGCTGCCTCCCTATACTGGTATGGCAAAGATATCCTTTAAAATACACATTTAATATACATTTAATATGACATACTGTATAATATCTGTTTTTATACAGGATGCATTGTCCCATTTTTAGGAAAATGAAGAGTCTTTTATTATGCTGTAGTTCTCTTGATAATTCAGGTTCATTGTTCTGATAGTTGTGTGCCTACTATGTGCTAATGCAAAGTGGGTAGCAGGGTGTCTCAGACACCCTCCTTGGAGGCTGTCATTGTTCGAGTCATTGGTAAGATTCAGTGCTAAACAGCCCCAGGGGCTCCTTGAGGTATTAGAGCCCAGTAGCCTACTTCTGCCATTTAAATTCAGTTCTTCCGTCTGTTTCCTATGGTTTCCCCACCTCCTCCCTTTCTTGCTGGTGGTGTTATTGATGTATCTAGACTTGCTCCCCTTTTTACTCTTTTCTTCATTGTAATATCACACAATTCATCACCAGGGGACCAAGAAACCAGGTACTCAGACTTGTCCTGGGAGTCTCTCAACTAGTTAAGTATGTGGACTCCAGTGTAGAGACTGTGTGAGCTTTACTTTTAAAGCCTACTTTAACCCACTATTGAGTCTCAAGTGAACTTCCTGGATTCATACTGAGAGCTTAGAAATATCAGCTTCCCCAAAAGTAAGCTGCTCTGGGAAACATGTAAAGATTTTTGGTTTATTACTAAGCAAAATGTTGTAGGGTCATCTACAACATTTTGCTTAGTCTACTTAATACTTTTTTTCATTGGAATTTAGTAAAATCGTTAAGGACTTTCCTTACCTCCTTTCCTTTCCTGTGAAAGCAGGTGTTCACATAGAGTGGGCAGGACAAAGTCAGGTGTCGCAAAGCCCGAGGGAAGAGTGGAGACTGTACATGACAATTTTAGAACTGTCAGAGGCAATGGACAGCAGGTGAACCTTTATCCTGTGACAGCCCACCTATAAGCAGGTTTGCTTGGAGCAGGACTTCTGGACGCATGGTGACTTGAAGCCACCTGACCAGAGCTGGGGGATAGAGCTGAGACCTCTGGAACTCTGAGTTTCTTCAAAGATGATAGGGAGTTATATTATTATATAACTCCCTTTATATCTGTATTCAGAAAGACACCTGACGAGATCTCCAAGGATACCTTGAAGGGAATTACAGAAGGCCTGGTAGGGCTCAGGCCTGTTAGTTTTGTTAAACATTTTAGGTAAAGATGCTACCCTTTCAGGAACATTCTCTTGGTTGTCTTGGTTGCCTCCCAGGCTTTGAGTCTCACACTGTGGCCTCAAACTGTTTCCTGCCTTAGCAAGGCACTTTCTAGGAATACAGACAGGAAATGAAGCCACAAACTGGGTTTTGATGTTGCTTTTAGGTCTGGACCTTGGGGACATTTTCAGATTACAGAGAAATTCCTCACATAGTTTAAATCAT